ATTGTATCTTTTGAAACAAAAGTGATAATATCTTTATTCAATGATTCATATTGTTAGCGGATTAAAACTAAAAATTCACACAACGCGCGAGCCATAAATCTAGTATCCATAAATGTGGAAAAAAAAAAAACCTCAACTCTGCTTGTTGTAAAAACGAATATTTTGGGTACTAGTCCGAAATATTTCCAAAATTAATTGTTACACGCAAAAATCAAAAACAAAAAAATAATAATTCTGAACGATTCAGATATTCTCAGAGTCCTGGTCTTACCTCTCACCTCTATGGAAGCTTCAAGTGTTTCTTCCATTCCATTAAAACCCTAAAATACTTTTCAATTTTTCTTGCGATTCGTTGTTCATCTTCCTTCTTTTGTCGGTACACTATTCATTTCTGGGTACTTCGATTCCTTTGAAGCTTTTGGGGAAACATGAGTCGCGCTTCGATTCTAATCTTATCGCTGTTGCTAATTTCTCACTTGACTTCTGCCAAAATTTTGTTGATCGGGAAGAACAAAACCCTCTCCTTCGACGATATCCAAGCCAATTTCAGTAAGTTTTCTCAGTTCTACTTACTGTTCCATCTATTCCATCTCTATCGCTTTTTTTTTTTCTCTGGATCACTGCAAAAATTCAAAGTCTTTGGTGTTTCTGCATATGCCCATCTAATTAGTTTCAATGGAGAATTAGATGATTAGGGTTGGATCGGATATATATTAGAAGAAAATCATATTAGGAAAGTGGGAATTTTTGTTGCATTTCCAGCTGTGGTTTTGTTCGAAATTTGCCGTTTTGAATTGAGAAATCGGAGGATCTTATCAGCCTTGTAAATGGGTCTGATTATTACTGTTTTATTTTCAGCTCCGATGATTAAGAAATCGGATCAATGCGGGGTGTTGTACGTAGCAGAGCCACTCAATGCTTGCTCGGGTTTGGCTAACACGGTTATTGTGGAAGAAGGATCGACTGTTTCTCCTTCGTATGTGTTGATCATCCGCGGTGGCTGTAGTTTTGAAGATAAAATTAGAAATGCGCAGAAGGCTGGATATAAAGCTGCCATTGTGTATGACAATGAAGATTATGGGTTCTTAGTTTCAAGTAAACACCGTCTCCCTCTGCTTTTTTTCGTCATAATCTCTTAAGCTTTGTATCGTTTCTTGTTTTGATATGTTGCATGGGATCAGTTGGGTACAGCTTAGATGTGTTATAACACATTAGTTGATGAAATGTTTTGGGAATGTGATAAAACTAGAGAGGGAAGAAACTGTGATGGAGGCTGGCTAGAGCAAGACCTATACCTGAGAGATAATCAGAACACATTCTATTGCTACCTTATACTCTTTTGAACAGGATTGTTGCGTAGTTATCTAACAACCGAGGTTAGTTAGTGTACAGTGAGAGGAGTTAAATAGAGGAGCGTGTAAGGTGATAGGCATCAGGAAATCGAGTTGGGAGGGTAGTGCTCTAGAGTTCATCCTTAGGGTCCTTTAATTTGATGTGTTCTAGGCATGGAGTTTGTTCTTTAATTCTCACTGAGAAACAAAACAGATATATGTTTCTAACATATCATAATAGCGGTGGCTAATGATCTTGTGAACCTAATGTAGTGGCAGGAAATCCCTCTGGTGTAACTATTTATGCCACGTTTGTTTCCAAAGCAACTGGGGAAGAACTCAAAGAGTATGTGGGTCGTACCGATATGGAACTATGTCTCATGCCAAGCTTTGAGACTTCAGCTTGGTCAATCATGGCTATCTCTTTCATATCTCTCCTCGCCATGTCTGCTGTGCTCGCCACTTGCTTCTTTGTCCGTAGGCATCGGGTAAGACGCCGGCGTATTCGGGCTCATGGTGACAGAGAATGCCCTTGTATGACCATAAACTCTATAAGACGCATGCCTACTACCATATTTACTGGTGTTTGTGAAGAAGCATCTACTTCTATTTCATGCGCTATATGCATTGAGGACTATAACATTGGAGACAGGCTAAGGATTCTACCTTGCCGTCACAGTAAGGGCTTTCACTCACTTCAAATTAAAAGGAATTTCTGAATGAGTATTCTTAATTGGTTGTTACTGTTTTCTTGGCAGAGTTCCACGTCGAATGTGTTGATGTGTGGCTTGGCCAAAGGAAATCCTTTTGCCCGGTTTGCAAACGTGATGCAAGAACCATCCGCGTCGATATGCCCGCATCAGAGCGCACACCCTTGCTTTCTCCTAGCTTGACCCCGATGTCATCTTTTCTCTCATCATCATCCTCCGCAACCCCATCACAGTCATCTTATGATCTACCAGTATACATCAGACAAGAGTCTCCTTCATCTTCCACCACAGTCCCTATGTGTCTATCTCACTCTCGCTCCCACACAAGCTTCCAAAATGGGTCATACCGTTCCCCGCCTATACCGGTTAGCCGGAGTTCAGTAGATCTCAGGAACGCTAATTCCCAAAGATCTTACAACTCTCCCCGCCAGGGTTCACTGTCTCGTTCCGTCTACTCAAGATACACGCACATACTTAGCCCTGGAAATGCATCATCAAGTAGCTGGGTTGTTGGGTCGTCAAGGCAGCGCGAGCATTCACTTCACCTAAGTGACTCGCGCAGGTCTCTCTCTCACTTTGCGTCTGCAGGGTCCCTACCAGGTTGCTAAATTGCAAAAGGCTAACACCTAACTAACCAAAAGGTTCAGTGTCTGGGCTGATTGCTTTGCAGACGCAATAAACTGCTCCTCCAGGATGTCCGTCGGCTAGTCTAAACTAATTTGTAACAGTGCCTGATTTTGGCAAACGATAGAGAGGTGAAAGAGTGTTCAGTGTGAGTGATATTCTTCAGCTGTACAGTTGTTTGAAGAGTGTGAGATGAGTGAGTTTGAAGAGTAAAGCGTCGTCTTTTGGTGAATAATTAAGCTAACCATTGAGTTTGGGTATATAACTAGCTTATCACTTTGGTCCTTTGTGTATATACATATACTTGCTGATTTTCTACCAATAGATCAACCATTCATCAAGGAAAAACAAAGCATACTATGTACCAAAGATCGATTTGGCCCAAGGTCCCATTATACAGAATATGATTAAAACTGAAGGAACACAAGTGATAGAGCCAATTAAGTGTTCAGAAATTTGTGGGCACGATGTTAGCTCTCATGTAGTGTAGTGAGCTGCTTCTAAAAACTTAGCACTAATAATAAACATAACAAACCTTCAACTTTTGTATTAGCCATTGTCAGACAGTGAGTTCAGAAATTATCTTCTCCTCTGTTGTTGCTTCTCTGTTTCCTTCCGCAAGACTTGAGTTGCTTTGTCCTACTCATTGACCATTTTCTACGCCAAAACTGTAATGTCACTACAGAGATTCCGGCATTGGTTAAAAGAGTCTAAATGTCCTTTTTCCATTTCTGATGCTCAAACCAATGATTTTACCTGATCAACTCTTTGTTTTCTTGTCAGCAAACTCTTCAAACTGCACCACACTGACATAGCCAAACACCAAGTCACGGTTTTCGGGAGCAGGTTCTCGCATTGCCAATATCAGTTTCGCAGCAGTCTCTTGAGCTATGTCTTTCAAAATCGCTAAAACTATATTTCTCTCATCCTCCAACTGGATTAACGTCTTACACTTCTTGGTTTGAAGAAGATGTTGACAGATAAACTCTGGAAATCTCACCTTCAGGAAAGAAATAAGAAGAATCTGAGAATGGTGATTTTTTCGGGTTTTAGTTTATGTGTTTGATGGGATTTGAAGGCAGCTTCGTGCAAAGTTTGTTCCCATGCTTGAGCTGATATAACTTTTGTTTTCAAAGTTGTTCTCAATCCCATACAAATAATAGAGATATATTATTCATCCACAAATTTCTTCTCATCACACAAAATGTAGTAACATTCACATACAACCACAAGAGTTGTTGAATGCCAAACTTGATTTGCTTTCCTCATCACCCATTGCATACACGTATACCTGCAACAAGAATTTCGATTGGTCACCATTTTTCTTACATTTTCAAAAGAAAAGCAAAGATGTAGTGCATTCCTTAAACTCAGCTTTGAGGTGAAACCAAACACACGGACAAAGGGATCAACAGCATAATGAGGAACCGCCAATCATCCTTAAACCGAGAAAGTTCTCAGTACAACATACCTGATCAGTGCATAGAGAGTGTGTAGGAATTATGATGGCGTTGTTGTGGCAAGCTCAGGCATCGACTCACGCCTAAGCTCCTTCACAACAGCAGCCAGAGCCTCTGGGTTAACACCAAGATCACAAAGAGCTATGAGAACTGACAAAGTATGCCGGTCTAGTCCCGTGTCCAAGATGTTCGACATGCAAAACACAAGCTCTAGCGACTCTCTTGCAGTCCGAGATGCCTCCTCATCCATGCTGACCAGGCCTGTTAAATCGACAATCTGAAATTCCTAAAGTTAATTACTGAATTATGGAGTTTCTCTCGACCAAATTAGACAAAGAAAGTTTATCTGCTCCAAGTCTTTAATAATTTAATCAGAGAAGCTTCAGCAAACCATATGGAAGTAACAAGATCCTAACATATCTGAACTAACAAACCTTCAACTGCATGAAAAGACCGCAAAAATCGACAATTATTAGAACCCAAAACCGAATGGAAGTAGACTACACTAATGGAAGTTAAGGATAGGCTACACTTGGATTTTAAATAGATCGGATGGTAAACTAAATTCTTTTCCCTAGACTTTTTGTCAATTGCAGAGAATTTATATCATGGATTCACCACATTTTTCCTTTCATAGAGGCTAAAGATACTAGAGGCTTACACAGGATTATCAATATCAAGCTTACTTTGAGAAAAAGGGATTCATTCAAACAAATTTTATAAGCAAAAGAAGTTCAAAACTAAAAGTAAATGTTATGGAGCAAATGTGACCCATAAAATGGTTTTGGCTTCTCTAATGATTCTTTGTCTTTTTTTTCAGAAATCTTTGCAACTAAACCAGGTCTAAAACTATAGTTTGCAGAAAAGAGACAATACCCAAAATTTCATCAATTTGAGGATCTCTATAGCGAAATTTCTCCGATACAAAACTAGAAAGACCAACAAAAAGAAAGGAAGCATATAAAACTAGCTAATAGGCACAAATGTCTAACCTTTTGCCTAAATCAGGAAACCAAAGGATCATGTTCACTTTCTGATTTCAAAATTTATAAATCTGAAAGACCTAAACTTTTTGTTTCTGATACAGGATTCACACACAGAGGTGATTCAAAATTTTGCTTCAGAGACCAATAAAATTTCTTACTATAATTTCTGAAATCATTGGACCGCAACTGATTCTTCAAACTACCCAAAAACATTCAATAGACATAAATAAATCATTCCTTATAATTCTCACTCAGGAGGCTGAAATTAGGGTTTCAATACCTAAAACATGACAATTTCGATTTACCCAGGCTAACAATTGAATGGTAATCTAATGGAAAATCGAAGAAAACTTACGTTTAGGCGGGATTATGAAAATCGAAGAAGCTAGAGACGGAGAGAAAGGGCGAACAAACCAGTGACAGTGTACAAACAATAATATTCCAAAAGGTAAACTTGACGTTCCTTTTACAAATTGTTTCGGATTTTTCTATCTCATCCAAGACTTGTACATATTTTTCTTACAAACTCTTTTTAATGGATGAAATGGATGCAGAAAGGTTGAAGCTTATGTTATATTTTGTAAATTTTTTTTTGGATTTTGGATTCTTAAGAACCCGGTTGTAACCAATGGTGAAAATTTCTTTTTAAAAGAATTATTGAATTCTAAACTAAGTTTACTGTTAGTTTAATATTATAAATTTGTTAAGAATCCTATTAGGGATTGTGATTTTCTATTAGGGATTGTGAGCGATGTACATGCTAGAGCATGATCAATGATGGGTGTTAAGTTGGGTTGTTAAGTATTTTTTTTTATTATAAATTGTTTTTAATTTTTTAGCAATCCACATTTTGGGGTTTTAAATCTCTTAAATTAGGACTTTTTGTTGGGGTTGCTAAGTGATTTTTTTAGTTTTAATTATTTTTAACTTTTTAGCAACCCATTAAAAACTACTTAACACATACCATTGATCATGTTCTTAAGCATGTCCATTGGAGCAACTCATATGGGTTCCTACCAATTGTTTTAATATAAAATTTTCATCATCTTTAATTAACAACCTCATTAAAAAATTTTATTTTTTTGTCTTGTCCATTGGTAGATTGCTATTAGGGGTTCTTTAAAAAAA